CGTTCTCTTCTGACCTTACTTTTCTCTTGAGCGCTCGTCAAGCCTCTGGAGATGCTAATGTAAGTCTTGAAGAAGAGGCGCTTGATTAAAGGCTATTTTCTCTCACCTCCTCGTCAGTTTGTGAATTTTATTTGAAAAAGCTCTCTTAGAACAAACTGAGCGTCTATCTACGGAGACCTGATCTCTCAGACTCTTTCCTCGCAATGTGTACTCATTGGCAGTGGTAAATCCAAAAGCAGTTTCTGAGATACTCTTTATTTTCGTTGCAAGGTAGGCTCACTCTTTGGCACTCTCCCGGCCAAAGTCATTAGAGTTGGCGCTTAATTTCGGAAGTACTGTCCTTCCGATATCCTTTTTGTCCGGTCTGATATATCTCAGATACCTGGCTGCCTAGAAAGCTGCTTGTGGTCAATACGCGTAAAGAAGTCACAAGTTCTTCGAAACTGCTTGACTACGGGTACTCCGAACTTTTGTACACTAGTCCTAGGCAAAGTCCCCAAGTTCTTGTTCCACTAGCTTCTACACCTTGCAGTGCAACTTAAGCTTCTATAATTTGGAATAAAAATTAGTGGAAGCAAAGCTCTAGAAGATTTCCTCTCTCTGGGGTTCGAACAAAATGCAATCGTCATTCATTATCACAGGCATCAATTTTGGCGGAGTGAGCCTCACTATTTTTGATACTCTCTCGGCAAAAGTCATAACAGTTGCCGCTTAACCTTTCAACTACCTTCTCTGGAATATCATTCTAATTTGCGGAGATTTCCTTACGCTCCAACTTCTCCGCTTTCATATGGCTTGAACAGCAGATCCTGCTTATGGTTAGAGATACCATGCTTTACCATATAAGCTCCACTCCACTTTTGGGAGAGAGAGAGAGGTGCACTCTCAAGCACTCTCTTAGCTTTCCTACTACACTTTGAGAGTTATCTTTCTTGTCTGCGGAAGTCCGTTGTAAATAGGCTTTCTTTGGAAAAATTCTTCATTTTTACATAACTTCGAGAGCGGATCCCCTCCCAATGTGATTTTGGTGAGGGATACAATCATAACCATATATTTTTCAAATTTAAGAGAGAGAGAGTCTGACTCTTAAGCACTCTCTGCGCAAATTCCATAGCAATTGGCACTTAATGGTACCACTAAAGTTTTCGGAGACATCATTTTTGCCCGGGAACGTTTATAATCAATTTAAACTCCTCGAAAAGAATCAGACCGACACATTAATAATTGCTTTAAGAGGTAACTGGTACCATTCTTCTCTTTTCAAAAAAGGCTTAGAGTCCGGAAGTAATCTCAAGACTGATGGACTGCTCCGACCCCAAAGAGCACGCGCAGATAGAAAACCTTTACGCTCCCTACACCGATGCTGAAGCTTAAAGCTCTCATTTTGAAGTTTCAGGAAAACATCATAGTACAGCAAATGATCAAAATTAAACAAAAGAATAGCGAAAACTTCACCCAACCGTCCACCGTCCACCGCCGACTTCTCTCGCCACAACAGCACCGCATCATCAGCGGCAACATCATCCAACAAGTGCAAGTTTTCTGTACGGCTGATGGCTCCACAAATCAAAATATACAAAAGAAGTAAAAGAAAAACAATAACAACAACAAAGATTTCTTTCTCACGCCGCTTGTTTGTTTTTCATGTACTTGCAGCTGTTGTGTTGCATTACAGCACTGCGAGCTCATGTACACAGTTTGCGGTAGCTCAGTCATTTGCGTCGCACTGCACTGCACTGATTTATGCGCTGACGACTTAAACAGTTATTAATGCATTTTGTTGCCACACTTTTGTTTCCCTCTACGCTTGGTTTCTTGCTTGCTTGCTCTCTGCTCCTCCTCCATCTCCTTCTCCTCATGCTCATCCGCAGCCAGGCACCCGCAGGAGTTGCTCTATAAGCCGCCCATTTGGTCCGTCCGTTGGGGTATTTGCTGTTGGTTGTAGCTTTATTATTGCTATTGTTGTTGTTGATGTTGTTAGCCCTGCGGCCGTTAGCTGCCGTTAAATACAACTCAACTCCGTAGTTCGTCTACTGACATGCCGTCACTTTGCGCTTGCCACACGTCCAAAGCCGTACGTTCGTTCGCTCGCTACGTAATATGTGTGCCGGCACTGCAGCAGAGCGTTGTTGTTGCGCTGAAATCATCAGCGTTGTTGTAGGTTTGGGGTTTTTTTTTCTTTTTTAAAGTATTTCACTTGCCCACACCAGCATCATCAATTTGTACATTTGAACTGGTTGCTTGACTGCGCGCCTTGTTGCTGCTCATTTTATTTCTCATTTCGCGTATGCGGTGTGTGTGTATGTGTAAATGTGTGTGTGTGTTTGATGTTTTGCGGCTTTTCGTTTGCGTTGTTGTGCCGCTTCGTCGCGCGCAGTTGGCAATTTTCATGCATTGTCCAGCCATCATTTGGGGTTTCCCTTATTTCGTGCTCCGCTCTGTGGTCGCTCGTCGGTCCATTGCTGCGGCGTTGGTCCGTTACGTCAACCGCAGTCAAATCGTTGCAATTGTTTCACTTATTTAATTTCCCGCTCTCCTCAATTATGCCAAACAATAACTCTTTTTCCCCTGCAACTTTTTTCCTTTAGAGTTTTTGTGATTGCATAAGTTCCGTGGCAGCGGCACGGCGGCCGGTTTTTGGTATTTGTGCAACATGTCAGCAGTTATGTCGACCGTTAGTTGGCACGCAGATAACACAGATTGCAATAGATATTTGTATTTTTTTTTGCTGTTTGTCTCTGCCGTCTACCGATGTTTGCCCTGGGAATTGTGCTAAATACCATGCGTCTCTATAGTTGTGCAACATTTTGTTGCAAGTACGCTTTTTAAGTGGTACTTTGAGGCGCGCTGTGACAATTTAAGCTGCTTGACAACTTCTAAGGTCTCCTTGCGGTTTAAAAAATATATTAACATATATAAAGTAATAACGTAAATTAAAAAAAAAAAATAAAATAAAATAAAATAAAATAAATTAAAATAAAATAAAATAAAATAAAATAAAATAAAATAAAATAAAATAAANATGAAATGAAATGAAATGAAATGAAATGAAATGAAATGAAATGAAATGAAATGAAATGAAATGAAATGAAATAAAATAAAAAAACAAAAAATAAAACAAAATAAAATAAAATAAACAAGTAAAGGTAAAATAAAATAAACAAATAAAAGAAAAAAATAAAAATAAAATAAAATAATTTAAAATAAAATAAAATAAAAAATTACACACAAACAAAATATAATGAAATAGACAGAAATTAATTTTAAAACCTAAAATTGAATATAATAGTTAAATGTAAATAAAATAAAGTTATTAAAAATAAAGCATAATGAAGTAAAAATTAATTAAAATGTAACGTAAGAAATTAAAATATAATGAAGAAGCGAAATAGTTAAAGTATGGCATAATAAAAAACGAAATAAAATTAAATAAATCAAAATAATGTAATGTAAAAGAAATCAAAATAATATTAAAAAAATGTTAATAAACTAAAATTAAATAAACTAATAAATAAATAAAATGAATAAAAATATTAAACAAATTATAAAAAAAAATGAAATAGAATTTTATGAAAAATATGAAATGAAACAAAACATAAAAAAGAATATGGAATAAATAAAATAATATAAAACGAAATCATTGTTTTAGTACATTTTTCGTTGAGTTTAAATTTTTTTTAGTAAAATGCTAACTCAAATGATAGATTATAGTTTAAAGAAGTGCCTCGAAATCAGCAGTGATAACGAGGGAGAAAATCGCAATATATATATATATAAAATTAAACGTAATCTTTCAACAAACAGCTTACAAACACACCCATATTTCGATGTCAAAAACACTGTTTACAACACACACGGAAGAAAACTATTACCTCCTCTCTCTCCGCCAACAACTCTCAATTACATTAAGCATGATACTATTTCCTTACGATTTGTGACATTTCATTCATTTTTAATAGACTTACAAACAGTTTTATGACACGAACGAAGACAAAAAAAAACAGAAAAGCACAACGAAAAATCAAGTATAAAGTGGGAAGTGAGAGAAAAAGGTTGTAAATACTTAACTGCTGCCGCTGCTTACTTTACCACTTCGCTTTACTACTTTTTCGCAATTCTGAAACTTTGTCGATTGTTATGCTGTGCACTTTGAGTTTTCTTCTCCACTTTTTATCTTTACTACTTTTTACATCAAATTACTTGCAATTGCTGGCGAGTGTGATGGAAAGTAACTTTGCACAATAACAATGCATTTAGTTTTTATGAGCAAAAAAAAAAGAGGAATTAAGTTATTGCTTTATCTCCTTCGCGTCCTCGATGTTGATGTATCCTTTGATCCACACCTTTTATTTCCGCTTGCTTTTCTCGCCTCTCAGCAACTCACTTCCACGCAACTGACCAACTGCTATGCCATATTTTTTCGACCTTTTGTTGTTATGAAATGGTAGCGCGCTTTCTGTGCGCGCGTCTTTCGTGCCGCCATTCGCCTGATAGAAATTGTTGTTATTGCGCTGCTTTGATCCGGCAATATATATATATATACATATATTTATATATTTTTTGCTTCATTTAATGTATTTTTGATAGCGGCCGCTAATGTTGTTGTTCTCAAACTGTACACTCTGCTGATGGTGTTGCGCCTGAATGTATGCAATATTAAAACGAAAATGTATACAGAAGCCTCAATTACCAAACCGGTAGGAACAGGAAGTTTTGTTGAGTTGCACAAAAGCAGTTGGCGCTGATTTTTTAGTTACCGTTCTTATGACGAATACAAATTTTTATTTTCATTTCGCGTGAAAGTCTCTGGAGAAATGAAAGAAAGTATTGACGGAGTCACTCTGAGCTATTAAATTTATTATGAAGTATGCGCTTTAAATGGGAATAGTTCTCGGAAAATATAAATAATTAAAAGAATAAATATTTTTTATATGCACTATCTGTTTTTAATTTTTCTTTAATTAAACTAATAATTTTTGAAATTTTATTTGACCTTCCAGGACGTTTTGCACAAAATCTGCCATCCCCATGGCCAAGTACTACGCATTGTCATTTTTAAGAAGAATGGGGTTCAAGCTATGGTTGAATTTGATAGTCTTGAGGCGGCAACAAGAGCACGTGAGAATTTAAATGGTGCCGATATATATTCGGGCTGCTGCACTTTGAAAATTGATTATGCCAAGGTGAGTAGAGTATACCAGAAAAAATCGATTATCTTTAAAAATAGTTTAAACACAATTAGATAATAAAAAAAAAATACCGATAAAATAAAAATATAAGAAGAAATTATAAGTATTAAATAAAATAAATTAAATTTAAAATAATAAAATGAAATTAGTTAAATTAAAATAAAATAAATTAAACCAAATAAAAAAAATTAGATTGAATTAAATTAAAATAAAATAAATTAAAAGAAACCAAAAATATTAAATTGAATTAAACTAAATTAAGATAAAAATAAAACAAATTAATTTTTAGTTAAATTGAATTAAAGTATAAAATATAAATAAATAAATAAAACAAAAATAAATTAAATTAATTAAAATGCAATGAAATAAAATAAAATAAAAAAATAAAATAAAATAAAATAAAATAAAATAAAATAATATAAAATAAAATAAAATAAAATAAAATAAAATAAAATAAAANAATTAAATAAAAAGAAACTAAAATAAAACAGAATAAAATGAGATATAAAGAAAAAAATAAAATAAAATGAAAAAAATTAAATAAAATAAAATGAAATGAAACGAAATGAAATGAAATAAAAAATGGAATTAATTAAAATCAAATGAAAGATTGTAAGATGAAATTAAGTAAAATAAAATGAAGTAAATAAAATAAAATACTATAAAATTAAATGAAATGAAACTAATAAAATTAAATAAACTTAAGTTAAAAAAATTAAATTAATTAGAATGAGATAGAATGAAATAAAATAAAACAAATGTAATGTGGTAAACCTAAAACATAATGAAACTGAATTTATTTAAATTAATTTAGACTTAACGAAGTTTAGTGATTTCAATTGGAAAAACTGACAATGAAACTAAAAACTAAAAAATAATTATAATATAAAAAGAAAAAAGGTAAATTATTTTAACTTAAGTATAAAAAATTATTATATATGTTTTTATATAAAATAATATCAATTAATTAATTAGAAAAATTATAACTACACTAAATTAAATTAAATTAAATATTTAAATAAACTAAAGAATCGAATTAATACTGAAAAAATATAATTGTTTGATATTAAATTTAATCAAGAAAAATTGTTTTTTAATTAAAAACGAAATAAGTAATTTTCTCTTCCTTATTTTAACCTTTTAGCCAGAGAAATTGAATGTATACAAAAATGAGCCAGATACCAGCTGGGACTACACACTTACCGCCGGTGAGTTTAAACAAATTTGTATTGTATTGCTTACACCCTTTTACACCAACACAAACACATTTCCTACTACAAAATACAGATACTGTACATACATATTTACATGCACAACTGCCATTCCTAAAAAAGTGTGTGATATGAGCAAAAACAAATATGCGCTATAATGCACGAAAAAAATTCAATTTCAAAATTAAAAAATTAAGAAATTAATACTTAAAAATTTTATAAAAAAATGAGATTTACTACTGAGAGAGCTTTAATAATTTAGAAATATATTACTTGGATTTTTTAACTAAAAACTATTTACATGAAAAATTAATAACTCCGCCGAAGAGAGTAGAAGTTATGAAATACTAATAAAAAAAGGACATATTTTTCCCTTTTCACCACAAAAATCCATTTAAATTCAATTCAAATCAGTACAGTATTTTTGAACATTTATTAAAATTATAATGGTACTTAAAAGTTTTATAAAAAAAAAAATAATAAATAAAAAATTTAAAAATATTAAAAAACAGAAAGAAGCAAACAAAAGGAGATCCTAATCAATACCATTTTATAAACATACACTTATACATATATGTATGTATGCATTTACATAATTCCTATGAAGCAGAAGCACGCTTATCTCTTACATCACCCGTATAGTATATTGTAGTACACCAAATATTACTACAAAAGATAAATATTCAAAAACAAAAGATTACAACAACCGTATTTATTAACACAAACAACGCAATAAACCTTTGACAAATACCCAGTGAAAATATTTTGTCGAGAACAAAGCAGCTTAATAACTTATTTGATGGAACAATAGCATTTACATTCTCATAAATCTAGTGAGAGAAAATTGGAAAAATGTAGTTGTACAAACAATTGACTAAAAACAATATTTTATATATGTGTTGACAAAAATCACAAAAAAAATAAAATTATTGTGCAACACTTAAATCGCCTGACCCCAGTCAACAGCAATAATTTAGTGTGTGACACAAACTTCAGGCAATTAGTTAGTCTAACAGCATTAGTGCTAAAAAGGATATGGAATTTGGGAAGGAAGGCACAAATTGAGGTTAATACTTATCACTAAAACGATTACGGTAAATGACAAAAATATATATGTACATATACTAAACGAGAAATATTTTTTCTTATGCCACTTCTGATTTTATGTCATATTCAACAGTGTCCAAAATACAATTAGAAACTGCAGAAGAATAGATCCGACTTTTGATATTTCCCTTGCACTTTTCACTAAAGTAAACTTATATAAAATGTGTCGTATGTTTGGTGAAGTTAAATAAATTTAACGATGAAATAAATACATTTGTAGTCTCTTTTAAACCATAATTTTTTTCCACTGTCCTTCAAGATTTTATTAGAATTCATTGCTTCTCTATACTTTGTGCCGACTGTTTTTCTCTAGAAAATAGTAAAAAAAATATTTGCTACATTATTTTTGGATGCACGTTTCTGACCAATTTTCACTTTGCCACACATTTCGGTTCTTTCATCAATTATAATTATAATAAGTTTTTCTCATTTCTATGACTAATTTTTCTACTTACCCATTTTTTTTATTGTTTCAAGTTAATTCGTAATCCTCTCTGCCTACCAAATGAAGAGTTTTACAATGTTGCCGATTTTCCCTTTTAGAACATTCTTTTGTTTGTAATAAAAACTACTTTTCTGTGATTTCCCATTCAGGTTTACTTATATAATATGAGTTTAAATTCAGTCGTTATTCTCTCTCCCACTTCGATATCGAACTCTTGCAATGTTGCCCGTTTTCATTTGCGGAAAATATTTTGTATACAAATAAGAAATATTTTTCTGCGCCACCAAGAATAGATCACAGAGAAATTTTACTGTTCAATATTCTCAAAAATTGCGCAGCCGGTTCAGAAGTTTACATTGTCGTCAATTTTCCTATGAAGCAGTTTTTTTTAAATGAATTTAATTTAGTATTAACCCTCTGCCGTGGCTGGTGCTAATTTTTTTGAATGATTTTTCCAGAAGCGTTTAGGTTCTTTTTTAATATAGCAATCTTACTAGTATGCTTCAAATTGTAGATTATTGCAATGTTGCCAATTTTCTTTTATTAAAAATTATTATTTTTTTATTGAAAAATATATTTTTTTCTGACCTACAAATTTGCACCGTTGCCAAGTTTCTTGTGGGAAATATTTTTATTTTTCTTTCCAATACGTACTTAAGTAAAAAATTTTACATTTTATTTATAACAGTTATTACCTTTGATGAAGCCAATTTGTAGCAAGCAATTAATCTTTCTAGTTTACATATTGCCATAAAATAAAGTAAATTTGCTAAAATTCCTCGAGTTAAAATTTTTGCTATGTTGACAATTTTTATTTGCGAAAAATCCTTTTTTGGCTAAAAATGTCTCTTGACATAAAAAATATAGCTATGTTGACAATTTTCACTTTTGAAAAACACTTTTATTTGGCTAAAAATATTTCTTGACATAAAAACTGTTGCAAGGTTGCAAATTTTCACTTATATTTGGCTAAAAATATTTCTTGACATAAAAACTTTTGCCAAGTTGCAAATTTTCACTTTTGAAAAATACTTTTATTCGACTTAAAATATTTCAGCGACACGTAAAGCCAAGAATGAAGTATAAATAAATAAAATTGTTAGATATCCTCAAAAACTTTTTGCTGCTTTGCTAGTTTACACTGTTGACAAATTTCTTTTTCTTCAGTAAACTTTTCCAAGCACTGCGCGGTGCCATAAAAATACTGTGCATAGGTTAATTTCATTTTTCATTGAATTTTTTAAAAAAATGTCAGTTACACTGCTGCCAATTTTCCTTGAAAAAATTCTTTTTTAGAAACTACTTAAAAAAAAAATATTTTTTTGTTATATTTCACTTCTTATGAAATACTCTTCATTTTGCGCCAGTCGTTTTGTGTCATTCACTTTTCCCCCCTATTTTATTATTCCACTTTTGAATTATGCCTTACACATTGTATTAACTACTGCACTACCAAAATCGGCCATAAACAACGACAACTTATTTCCGTTGACCATTATTTGGACGTGTTTTTTTGTTTGTCAAGTAAAAATATTATCATAATTAAAACGTATATAATTTCCGGCAAACCGCACGCGCCACGCCAACCACAAACATGCAGCAAACAGATATGTATGTAGGCTCGTACATATGTTTGTATGTCTCCAAGTAAATATGACCACAAATTTAATTTTTATTAAAGCGATAAATGTGTGAATGTGACTATTAGTGTCAACAATTCACTAATATGCCTGCCAGCTTGCCACAACTAAGTGTTACGTTATATTTGCCACAAATTCTCTATTTACTTTGTGGCCAGAGAAGGAGAGAAGGAAAATAAACGACTTTTTGCGGAAGACTGTACGCCCACAGTAAACGCAACTGCCTGCCGCCTCCGAGCTGCTCGTTTATGTTGCCTTTTTTCGTTTTACTCCTCCAGTTGATCGTTCGCTCCTACGGTCGCTGCCGCTGCGTTTATGTATGTTGGCGTTAATAGCAGCAGTTCTCCACCACTCACTCCACACCACTCCATTCCACCATATGCTACGCTGCAGGCACATAGAAATGTGTTGCTACTTGCTGCCACTCTCACACCACAGCCGCAGGCTGATGCATTGCAACGGTGCGACAAATTAGATGACAATTTGAATATGTACAGCAAATAGTTGCCAGACATTTGCAAGCCAACCTGCCACCCATTTTTTTTTATTTTGCACTATTTTCTGTTTGTTTTAATGGCTTGTGTCTTGATCGCAGCATCACTCACTTTTTATTGCTGGAATTAAAAATTACTGCGCCTCGAGCAGCGACAGCGGCAGCGGCAGCCGCATTCAGGCAATATCAATGTGTCGGCCGTCCATTGTTGCGGTAGACAAACAGTCGCCGGTATATATCCGCTGAGATGACGCTCCATTTGATTGTGTTGCCGTGGCGTCGGCGTTTGACACCTTCATTAAAATTTACGGTTAGACGTTGGTCTGTGAGAAAAGGTGGGCGATGGTTATAGTCGTCAGTCGGCGGTATTAACGGTGGCGCTTTTGTGTGGGGTGGGCGGGTCTAGTTTGTTTGTGCACCTGCTAAATGTATGCTCAGCTGCGTTCTTGACTTTTTTTATTTTTATTTTATTTATTTATTTGTTTTTTTTTTTTATTCATCTCATTATACTTACGTCAAACACTTAAAATATTTTTAGTTGTATTTATACATACTGTTTTTGTATTTTTTTTTAATTCCAGTAAATGTATTCCACTTCCGAAATTCTTCAGAATGCTCCTTAGCTGGTTCAAAAATATTCTTCAAAATTTTTTTATTGTCGTAATTGCAAACTAGTAAATATAATACTTAGATATATGAAAGGAGGAGCAACTTTCAATCTTTTCTCGACACCTTTTGTTCCACTTTCTAAATAAAATTATTCACTTCAATTTTTTTTTCTCTAACTATTGCTTGTTAGTTTCTATTTTGTGCTCGCCCAAGGTATTACCAATTGTTACAATTTAAACTGTAGTAATTTTTTGCTAATAAAATAATTTTCCACGCGAACTTAGTCTTCCTTAGATATTTATTTAATTTAATTATATTTGTTTTATATTATATACATATTAATGATATTATATTATATATAATATCCATGTTTACCCATTTGATTTGAGATACAATTTATTTGTGATTTTCTTTGACTTGAAAATGCGAACTTTTACAATGTTGCCAATTTTCTGTTGTGGAAATATACTTATATCATGTGGAGTAAAAAGAATGTCTGCTACGCTGAATAACAAAAAAACTGATTGAATTCAAACAGAAGTTTTAATTTCTTCAATCACTACACGTTGTTGGCTAAAAAATTTGCACTATTGCCAATTTTCACTTGACAAAAATATTTTTAATTTTTTATAAAAACCAAATTTTTTCTGTTTCGCAAAGTTAGTGAAAATTCACTATGAACAAAAACGTTTAGATTTTGTCA